TGCAGCTATCTCTGAAGTGCTTTGTGATGGATCCGCTTCTACAATAGCCTTTAATTCTTCATACCAGCTAAATGAATTTATAAATTTAAATTTGGAATTCTTTACCAAAGGGTAGATATTTCAGATCAAAGTGGTTAGTATGAAAAAACGCTAATTTCATATGTACGGACCTAATATTAACAAATTTAAATCCGCAATAAAACGTGGCTTGTGCCAGAGGACCTACTACTCAATTGTAGATTACATAGAAGACAAAAATGCTAGGGATAAATTAGCGCAGGTTATTTCTTTCTTAAGTAAAAATGTGGTGTGGGCTAGTGTGTTTGTTATTAATATTATTTGTTCTATTTTTTATGTTTCACTTCATTTTCTCTTTTATTCGATTTATTTTTCTTAATCTTGTTTTCTCTTCATTGTCTTTTTACGTTTTAGTCCTTAATAACGGACATACTGGCACACATCAAAACAATGTTGTGGGATATTTAATAATGCCATTGTACTATTCTGTCAAGAAAGTACCGGGAATCATCAATAATACACAAAATGTTTGTTATTCATGCAACTTTATTTTATCACTTTCAAAGTATACTCCTTCAGAAACGATACACTTACGCCAACGAATAATCCAATCATCAAAACATTTTTCAAACGCTGTTTCCGGAATTGAGTTCAGTTCTCGCTGTGTATTACGCGCTCGCGGCTATCTCTCTCAAAGTTGAATGAGGATTTTCAGTCACTATTTACTTCACTTTTGCGATGTTACATTCAGTTGCAGATGTTGATGGCCTACCAGAGCGAGGCAAATCTTCCATCACATCTCGACCGCTTTTGAACGCTTTGTACCACTCATAAGCACGTGTTTTTGATAAAGTCGATTCCCCGTAAACCTTCTGTAACATTTACAGTGACTCAAACACATCATTGTATTTAATATAAATAGCTGACGAGGCATATCAGTCAGTCATCAGAGTCAGTTCGAGGACCGGTATTTTTATCTATGTTTATTAGGAGCTACTCGCTAACAGCAAACGTCAAACTGCAGGCTCTGCGATAGACTCTGAGAATTCAGCATCAGGTGGGCACATACAAAATTTTATACGGTTACCAAAAATTAATTTACCTTACCTTACTTAGATACAGCTTCCTTCAGGAAGTGGCTGAGACACACCCATAGCGATGGCCTCCTTGGTCGGAGCCGACAGGGAGAATGGGGGTGATGTTCGGCCCGTCACGGATGCGCAGTAGGGTGTCCCGAATTTTTTTTATTCTTATTTTAGCTACTTAAGACCTCTCAAAAGTTACGCTGTTAGACGTAGATTAGCGTAAAAATAATTCAAAAAATATTTAAAAATATCCTTAGGGCTCTACCAGCATTTTTATTTACTGAAAATTCGCAAAAACAACCTTGTAGTCAATGTCGTATATTCTATGTTTTATGAATCAATCCTGTTTTGTCTTGTAATTTTATCAATAAGAAAAGCCTCGGCTATGATTTGCAAGTATCGACAGGTTGTTTTAGGGATCAATCGGTTTGGATCGGACTTGCAAAATTCCTACAAAATTCATGATTGACTTGATTTTCGTACGTGCGCTACTTCTACAACAAGACAGTTCGTCTCATTTCTATTTCGATTTTACTCTTGTAAGGAGTTGTTCTATTCTTCTTTGAAAGAAAAACGTAATTTGCGTTACTTAATCATAAAAATGTGTTCAAGGCGAAGTGAGACTACTTGTACTATATTGGGACCTTATAAAGAACTTGACGATCGCCAATTACCTGTTATAAAAGACGTTATTAAGTGCATTTTATTTACTAAAAGTGAATTAAAACTACAGAAAAACGGAAAAGATCCATCGAACACAGAAGTCTTTTCAATAGTTTCTTGAAAACTTAACACAATTTGGACCAAAGCTTCAATTCCCATCGTTTCTAACGTACGGGTTACTCAACTGCTAACCGCATATTTTAACAAATATTTATCACTAATAAGATATCCTAAAAGTAAGAGAAACGATAGCTATGACAACAAAGTTAAGTGCTTTTTGGAATCGTCAAATAAGCTTTTTGACATCGCTGCTTGTAAGTGCACTTCGTTTGAAAATTGTTCCTGCACTAAACCCAAGAAAGTTCCCATTTCTGAAAGAGATTTTTTACTGGACCAAAGAAATGATAGGAAAATGGCAATAAGCGGCGTAGACGCAAAAGAAACTGCAAGGCTTTTAAAGAAACATCAAAGACAAGAAAATTTGAAGCGGATAGAGCAAGCATGTTTTCCGAGTACTTCACAAACCGATACTGTACCGGTACGCGTGTTGCCGCCTCGTTCACAGTCGCTTTCAATAGAACCTTCTACTAAAAGTGACTTAAAGGAGTCTCCATCTAATTCATTTAGTCGGAACACTCTGACGCTGCCAACAGTAGCTAAGGTATGTGATCGATACGGACTATCAACGCGTTCGGCAGTTGCAGTCGCTTCAGCAGTCTTAGTTGACGTAGGAATGGTATCTTCCGAAGATCTAAACCTTGTGATTGATAAAAATAAGATTCACAGAGCTGTTTCAAAGTCACGTACCCAAGCCAGCAAAGACATCGATAAAATTATTATAAAGAGTATCTACTTCGATGGGCGAAAAGATAAAACTCTCAAGATCAATAAAATAGACAGCCGGTACCACCGAAAAGAAGTCTTAGAAGAACACATTTCAGTTCTTATAGAGCCGGGATCTATTTACTTGGAACATACGACGCCGAGTCAAGGTACTGCGAAAGGGATTGTCACTTCTATTATAGAATTGTTAGAAAATCAAGGATGAAACTTAGAAGAAGTAAGTTGTGTGGGTTGCGATGGCACTCCTACAAATACAGGTTGGAAAGGAGGTGTCATTAAATACCTGGAAGACTATTTGAAGAGACCGTTACAATGGTGTGTTTGTATGCTTCACACAAATGAATTACCTCTTCGCCATTTATTTATATCTCTAGATGGTAGCACATCTGGGCCGAAAGAATACTCAGGACCTATTGGAAAACAGCTAAATGTTTGTGAAAGTAAACCACTAGTGTCTTTTTGTGCAGTGGCTGGCAATTTGCTCGAATTACCTGATGACATTGTGAAGGAACTAAGTACGGATCCAAAGTATCTGTATGAAATGTGTCATGCTGTGACGACTGGTTCTTGTTCCCCTGAGTTAGCGAGCCGCCAACCTGGAAAAATGGCGCATTCAAGATGGCTAACTACTGCCAATCGCATACTCAGACTTTATGCAAGTACTGTTTCGCCATCAAATAATTTAAAGCTGCTTGTCAATTATGTGGTCAAAGCTCCAGTTTGGTTCCTCATTAAGAAAAACTCATCATTCAAAGATGGAGCCAATCATATTTTTCAAATGGTTACATACTCCCGATTTTTGCCTGATAAGCAAAGATCTATTGTGAATTCAGTGATCAAGAGAAACGCTTTTTTTGCTCACCCTGAAAACTTACTTGTTACCATGCTATTCGACGACAGAGAGCATATTCGAGAGCTTGCAGATCGCAAAATATTAAAGGCAAGAGAAGCAGAAATAAGCAATACTCGCAGGGTATTTAAAGTACCAAAACTTAACTTCGATGCGCGATATTACATCGATTTGATATTTTGGCAAGAGTGTGAGATATCCGCTCCACCGATTTTGCGACAGATGTCCGACGACGAACTGAGAATTAAGGCTAAAGAACAAAGCTTCGATGTTATTGATTTCCCCTGTCATACACAATCATTTGAAAGATGTGTAAAGCTAGTGACGGAGGCTTCTCTAAGTGTCACGGACGCTACAGCTCGGGATGGTTTAATCAGAAACAGATTAAAATCAAATGCCTAATTTTGGCCACAAGAACCAATTTCGTATTTGAAATAAGCACTAATTATAAGTATTTAAACTTTACTGAACATTACCTTATGTCTTTGTAGTACCTATAAATTTGATTAAATCCTTTAAAACATTATTTTTGTATCATTTATAGTTTATGTTCGAAACCTCTAAAAATGGCAAATTTGAAAAATTTCTAGGATCGGTAGAGGCCTAAAGATGACAAATATTTAATTAAATTTTGTTAAATTTGTAATCTATTCACAAAAACGCAACTTTTGATACCTCTTGCGTAGCCGTCGCTTAAAAAAAAAAAAAAACCAATACATTGACGGGACACCCTAATGCGCAGGTAAGGGCGGCTGTTCAACGGATCCGTTCCCAGAACACCGCCCCCGGGACCAGGTGGGATACCTGCTCGAATGCTGGCCGTAGCCCTCGACCATATGTCAGACCGCCTCAGGGAGGTGTTCGACGCTAGTTTGATATCCGGACGTTTCCCTGAGTGTTGGAAAAGCGGAAAGCTGGTCCTGTTGAGGAAAACTACCACTATCGATAGCAAGAAGATAACAAAAAATACAGAACACGAAGATATTGGTGTACAATCGCCACGCCCTATCATTACTGTAGGATCTGAATTTTATCGATTTTGTTTTTATTACATAAAAGCACGTAAAAAAGTGTATTAGATAATCCCATATGAAAAAAAAAAATACATTTTAATAGATTTACAAAGTTAATCACACCAATATCGTCGGTAGTAACGCTTGTGTCCATTCAGAAATGTAGGTAGTGTCGAACTGTAGATGTTATTCGGACGCGTCGAGCGTGCGAGCGAGTGGATCTGCCAGTTGCTGTGTTAATGCAGGGATAAGTGCACGTAAATTAAGTTTTGCAGTGCGAGTGTATGTTTATTAAATTATCATGTCGTTGACAATTCGAAATAATAAAGCAATTACTGAAAATAATAATAATAGTGAAACACCTTTGAACACTGATACAGGTAAGATTCTGCATTTTATTTGAATTACTAGCTATTTTTTGGTTAACTGCTTATGTAATGAGTAGTTACTGTTTAGTTTTAGTCAGTATTTGATATTACAAGATCAGTTAATCAATTACAAAACAAAATACTTGTTTGTCCATTTAAAATGTACGTATTGGTCACATCCGACACTAATGACCGTAAATTTTGAAATACATATTGCAGGATGTACAATTACCAACGTTTTTCACTGTAGACTGTCAAATATATATTGTAGGATCTGTCAGTTCCCACGTTTTTGACTGTACATACCCTCTAAATCTATGTAGTAGGATCTGCTATGTTCTTTTTAACGATCGTAAGTGACTAAATCAATCTTGACTTAGCTATAATTTAGGACTTGATTGATCGCAAATCACACGATGGACTGGATTAACCCTAATTTTAAAAGATTTAAATAAAATCTAAATACTTATTGTAATATTGGAAGCAGCTAATTTATTTTATTGAAGCTAAAAAAAAATATAAAAAAAGTATTTTTGGTTTTCAGTATTTCGAGAGTCGCCTGTACCGAGTGATCCAGAACATAATTTAGAAAAAAAATCTGATTTATTAAAAGATGTTTTTGATGACAAATCCGAATATATGGAGTTGGAAAAGATGGATGACATCAAAATTAATAACGAAGAAATTAATGAAAATTTAGACCCAAATATAATAGCCTACATTAATATTAGTTCATCCGTTAAATCTGTTACTGCTCCATCACCGGTACAAATTCAAAAAGTAGCATCTCCTGCTCCGTCATCACCTCTTATTCATCAAACACCAACTCCGGTTCCATCACCAGTTCAGATTCACGAACTGTGTAACAGTAGCTTTTGTGTTCAGTGTTCTGAAGATATTATTTTAATAGCACCTGATGATCTTTACGGGAATTTGCCGACACCCTCTATATCTTCCATTGCAAATAGTGCAACACCAACCTTTATCAAAGGTATAAAAAAGAGAACATATAAAAATGATAAAGGCAAGAAACGACTTGTACATAAAGAAGACTGGATAGTGACTAAGAGTAAATTATTGAAGAATCAAGGAAAAAGCTATACTAATCAGAAAGGAAAAACATTTCCTGAAAAAGTTATGAAAAGTCCTTGTTGTTGTCGGTTAAAATGTTTTGAAGCTTTTACAGAAGAAGAACGATCAAATTTATTTAAAAAAATTTGGGCACTTGGAGATAGAAACAAACAGTGGGAATATATGACTAAATATACCAAAAAGCAACCAAAGAAACTACAGAAGTCACTTTACATAATAGACAATTCACATTTCTTTATTTTCTTCCCTTTGGAGATAACCAAGCCAAAAAAGTATGCCAAACAATGTTTTTAAATACGCTAGCTGTAGGTGAACGTATTGTAAAAACTGCCTGGGAGAAATACGATGGATCAACTTCTGTTGATGTTGATAAACGAGGAAGATATGATCATAAAAAAACTAAAATAACAGAAGATGTGACGAAAAGTATATGTGATCACGTCAAAGCTTTTGCCCCCGTTGAGTCACATTATATAAGAAAACGATCACATAAACTTTATCTTGAGCAAGGTTTGAGTTTTAGTCGCATGTACAAGCTTTATTGCGAATGGTTTGACCCAAATGTATATGCGGCTAAAGCTCAAACCTTAAGACAATATAGAGATGTAGTCAACTTTAATTTCAACTTGGGCTTCTACAAACCCAAAAAAGACTGTTGTGATGTTTGCCACACATTTCAAAATAACCCATTTCCAAATGAACAAGAAAAGACTGAGTTCATGTGACATCAAAAGCGTAAGAAGACAGCTCGAAATCTTAAAAACAAAGATAAGGAGGATGCTACCTTAAACAGTAATATCCTGGCAGCTACGTTTGACTTCCAGAAAGTCTTACCATCTCCTCATGGAGAAGTCAGTATCTTGTATTATAAAAGAAAATTGTCCACTTATAATTTCACTGTGTTTAACATGGGAACAAAAGACGCAACATGTTACATGTGGCATGAAGGTATTGCGAATACGACGGGGCGCAAACGAGGTTGCTAGTTGTCTCTACAATTTTATTAAAGAACACAAGAGAAAAGGCATTACTGAATTCCGGTTTTGGTCTGACAACTGCTCTGGGCAAAATCGTAACCGTATTGTATTTTTTCTGTACCTTCTTGCTGCTAAAGAATTCGACGTCACAATCATACATCGTTTTTTAGAAAAGGGGCACACACAGAATGAAGGCGATAGCGTTCATTCTGTAATAGAGAGGGCTAGCGAAAGAAGGTTAATTTATGTACCAGACGAATGGTACTGTTTAGTACGTTGGGCTAAATCATCTGGTAATTCATACGTGCTACAAGAGATGAAGACTAAGATTTTTTTTTATTTTAAATCACTTATAGCAAATAAAAATTGGGTAAAATCTGTGTCAAATGAAAAGGTTAGGTGGACTGCAATTCGTGAGGTTAGAGTAGCTGCAAATGTTTACGACAGGATTGAATTTCGTTATGACTTTGATGCTGAATCGCAAACTATTGTGGTTTTAAGGACAAATACGCGTAACAAACAGCGCCTTGTTAGCAATTTTGACCTAACACCAGCATATAATGGTCCCCTTTCTATACAAAACGTCAAATATAAAGATTTAGTTTCTTTATGTGAAGCTGGTATTATTCCAGTGCGTTATCATATTTTTTTTAAAAGTCTTCGGCAGGGTGACCTTCTTAATGAAGAAGAACACCAAAGTGATTACAGTGATTCTGAATAATTGTTGATTTTTTTAATTCACGATTTAGACAGATCCAATAACTAAGTACCTAATTATTCAAGTCATAAAAATTTAATGGCTTTTGTTTTGTTATCGTTACGTTTTAATTACTTTGATAAATAATAAATGTAGATTTATTTTATTATCTATTAATATATATATTATTATTAGTAGTAATTGTTACTAAGACTGATTATGTCCAATCATTTATTTAAAGTTTATGAATGATTGTTATATTAGTATTACTTTTATTTTGATTAAAAATGATGTATACCTGCAATTTGAAATTTTGTTTTAATATTTTTTTGTTGTTCTTTATTTTCTGTATTTTTATTTGTACAACAAATAATCTTTTATCTTTCCTTATGATCACTTACAATTCATGAATGATGATTATACTGATGATTAAAAACTATTGTTTTATTTGACATTCCTCTCGTTATTTTATAATACTTAGGTACATTTTTACATGTTAATTTATTACATAATGTGTTATGTAGCCTATTACTAATATTCTCATATCGAAAAATACGTAAATAGCAGAACCAACAACATTTAGCAAAAAAAATCCAATTAAAAAGGTCTTTTCTGCCAGATTCGACCTGTGTGACAGAATTTTGCCCAATCAAAAATGTTGGAAATACCACATCCGACGATAAAATATGTCCGTGTAAAATGGCTACATGTGCCAAAATTACCACTTTTCCAATATACTTAGTGAGTTCAGTCTATTAATTTGACAGACAATAGGATACATGATACTCGTTCCAAAATTCATACTCCTAATCCTTATGGTAACATTTTTATTTCACTTTGTAACTTTAAACTACTCTGCTGGAAAGTTGGATATTTTCAGATCCTACATTAATGATAGGGCGTGGCGCAATGACGTTTGTTGATTTTTTGAAGTCAGCAAGCTTCAAAACCCTCAACCTCAACCCTGAGGACGTCTGGGTCTCCAGGCCAATGAAAACCGCAGAGGTGCGGATTGCTGGTCTGGACGACTCCGTAACCTCTGAGGAGGTGGTAGCGGCCGTTGACCGAAGCGGAGAGTGTCCACCGGACAAGGTGCGGGCCGGCGATATACGCACCGACGCCACCGGACTTGGCGTGGTCTGGGTTCGGTAACTGTAGCGTCGGCGAAGAAGATCGCCCGCACGTGCGAGGAGACACTGGGGTGGTTTTAGCCGGTAAGAGTCCGGCACGCCCCTCCACCTTTCCCCAGGCGGAGGTAGTCCATTAGGGGCCAGACTACCCACTAAACCACCACGGTGTTCCTCCTAATCCGAGCCACGGGATAGTTTGCTCACTGCGACTCGGCTAGGGACGCCCTATTTAACGGGCTCACAACTCGAGGCCCCACCATTCGGACCACCGTGCCCAGATGGTGGGGCCTGTCCTCCTCAAGAATGCACCCCAGGAACACAGAGGTCTCGGCGTGGTCTGGGTTCGGTGCCCTGTAGCGTCGGCGAAGAAGATCGCCTTAAGCGGCAGATTGCTGGTTGGCTGGGTTGCAGCGAGGGTGAAACTCTTGCAGCCCCGGGCTTTGCGGTGCTTCCGGTGCCTGGAGAAGGGGCACGTCCGGGCAAAATGCACCGCTGAGGTTGACCGTAGTGACCTTTGTTATCGCTGCGGTCAGGCCGGCCACAAGGCGGCCCAGTGTTCCGCGGCGCTCAACTGCAGCCTATGTTCGGCTGCAGGGAAGCCAGCGGGACACAAAGTGGGCAGAGGGGCCTGTGGCGCGCCTGCCAGCAAGGCCAAGAAGAAGAAGAGGAGCTCTAAACCTGCCGGGGAAACCTCGCTGCCCCCGCAGGCTAGTAGCTCCGCGGCCTACTCCCGGCCCAGGACCGTTGCCGAGGGAATGGAATGTCAATAATGGCACAATTCCATTTCCTCCAGGGCAACATCAATCACTGTGCCAGAGCTCAGGATCTTTTACTCCAGAGCATGGCAGAGTGGTCGATCCACGTGGCTGTGATCGCCGAACCGTACTTCATCCCCGCCCGTGACAACTGGCTGGGGTGCGCTGACGGTTTGGTGGCATTATTGGCGAAACTTTGATCGACCCGTCTCGGGGCCGCGGCTAGATTACTGCGGTTTCGGGCATCGGCGGCATCGTCATTGTGGGGGCGTATTTCTCCCCCAACAAGAATCTCGCCGACTTTGAGGGTTTTCTTGTCGAGGTGGGCGCCGTCTTAGGCCACTATCACCCTTGTCCCGTCCTGGGCTCGGGGGGAACGCCAAGTCATCGGCGTGGGAATCTCCGGTCACTGACCCTCGGGGCAAGGCGCTAGAAGAGTGGGCGGTGACGACAGGTCTGGTCGTCCTGAATCGGGGCTCGGAATACACGTGCGTGCGGCAGTGGGACGTCTCGTTCGCTAGCCCCTCTGTCGCCAGCCGAGTCCGCGACTGGCGTGTCGCCGTGGAGGTGGAGACGCTGTCGGACCATCGGTATATCCGGTTCGACGTCTCTGCCCAGACCGCGAACGGCCGCCATCCAACAATCCCGATTAACGACGGCCCGCGTTGGGCACTTAAGCGCATCGACAAGGAACTACTCGAGGAAGCTGCATTAGTCCAGTCCTGGATTTGGGAGTCGGTGACGGAAGACCCAGTCGCAAAGCGGTTGCGCTGTGGTTTCGCGGAGCCATCGGCGACTCTAAATTGCGTGCCAGGGAGGAGCTGCTTCGGTCCCTAGATCGGGATCCGTGGGGGCGAAAGGCAAAATTACTCGCGTCAATATATCGATGGCGCGAGGAAGAGCGGGCACATGGCCCGAGGCCGCTCAGGAAGGAGGGGCGCCCCGCGGACTCGCCGTCCGCGTATCGGCCCATAGGGCTCGACGAGGCGGGCAAACTTTTTGAGCGCATTATCGCAGAACGCCTCGTCAGCCACCTGTGCAGGGAGGGGCCGACCTGGGCGACAACCAATTTGGTTTTTCGTCGGGGGCGCTCCACCATAGACGCCATCATGCGCGTGAGGGCCCTGGCGGAGGAGACGGTGTCCCGGGGTGGGGTGGTGCTGGCGAGCTCTCGTCGAGCGCCGATTTGACGTGTTATGCGGACAACACGCTTGTCACTGCTCGGGGGAGCTCCACGAAGTCCGGTCCACGAAGTAGTCCGCCAGGACGCGCCTGAGGTACCATGGGACATTGTGGACCTCCTCCAGCAGCCGCTGCAGCAGCAGCTCCTCCGCCCGGCTGCAACATGAGGGTGATCGCTGCAGTCTGCGGGGTGCGCAGTTTGCGAGGCCTCCTTGCACCACGTTTCCTCTTCTTGATGGCTGGCACGGATGGAGTGGGGTGGGGCCGGTTTAGGCGCCTTTGGCCTAGCCGCCACATCGCTCCATGTCACGTTCTGTGGGAGCGGGGCGGGAGCCAACGGGGAAGCCGACGGGGGCGACTGCCGCGACTGTCGGGCAGCCTCCTTTGCCGCAGCCGTCTTCCTCCCCGCCCTCTCAGGCAGCAGGCGGTAAGTGATCCCCACATGTCGCGCGTCGATGAGAAAACCCATCTCATCGCGGCTCCGCCCGCCCTCCGTCCTCTGCTTCAAGGCCCGCATTTCGGCCTGTACAGCAGCCAGCTCCGCAGGTTAGGG